AGTACGTAAAACTAAAAAAAAAAAAAAAAAAAATAATTGTATAAGTATTACTGTTTTCTATGTTATTTAGCAAAATATTGATGTTCTAAATCTTTAATCTCTAAATAATATTCCTTTATGGACGACCGGGTGACAAAGTCCAGATTATAAATATGTTTAGCAGGCGTAAAGTACCCCTTTATCGCCCCTAGACTACTTTACCGTCCGCAAACTACTTTACGGTGGGTGGTAAAGTAAATTAATTTTTTTATTTATTTTAAAAATTTACATCTAGTTTATTTATTATCATGGAAATTATCAACAAATAAAAGAAGTTATAGTTTGAACAAAAGTACCTCATACACTTTAATATTAATTAAGAAGTAAATCAAACATTGGATTTGATCTAAGCTGATACATTAAATTGTATATGAATACCTGTTACGGCCATTTGTATTTTTATTAAACTCTTCAAGTAAAATTGGTTGCCTACAGTCCACGTTCATAAATCAATTTAATTTTAATTCTTTTTATTAAAAAATATTTTTAAGCTCATGTCGAAAAAGAGACCAGTCCGTTTTGAACCTTCGTATTAAAAACCACGGTTTTTTTGTGTGTAAAAATTAGTGCCGGCTTGATAAACAATTCCACCGCAAATTAATTAAAAATTAGTGATTTACTACTTAGAGTAAATTAAAGGATTATTGGTAAGCCATAAATCTTAATTTTTCCCCTTTTTACCCAAATATTCCTGTTCCTTATTTTTTTGGCAAGTGAGATTCCAGATATAGTCGCAGTTCTTGGAAACTAATAAAGGTAAATTTTATTTAATTTTCATTTATATATTTTTAAAATTTCGCAAATCATTTTTGGCCACTTCGACCCGGATTTTGAATTTTGTTGTAATTCAGCTATACAGGGTGTTAAAAAAAAAGTCTCACAAAATAAAACGGGGGGTAGTATGGGCCAAAATATGCAGAAAAGTCTTAATAAACATATGTCCGCAAATGAATGGTTTCAGAGATACGGAGTGTTTTGTGTTTTGTATCATTTTTTGATTATCTTTTTTCATTCTCAAAAACTTGCTTTTCTTATCGGAGTCTACCGATGTTTTTTCATAGATACTATTTGCAGTTATTATTTTGTTGTGGGTGAATAGTTTTATAAATTTTCGTTATGCCTGTTTACACTAATATTGAATTAGCTGACATGCATTTTATGTACGGTCGTGCAAATGGCAATGCGAGGGAAGCGCTACGTTAGTCATTTAACTCTATGTTGTTATTGATTGTTTATAAATATCATTGTTTTTTTATAATAATAAAAAATTGTTATAAACACAAAATGGTCCGTATCTCCGAAACCGTCAATTTGCGGTCATATATTTATTAAGACTTTTCTGCTTATTTTGGGTCATACTATTCACAATTTCATTTTGTGACACTTTTTTTTAACACCCTGTATATCGCAGTTACGCGAATTGTAGTTAAATAGGCAAGCCATCGTGACCTTGCCAATTTGGATTTTTTCGCGGTGATTTGAAGTATAGTTCGAGCATCGATTCGTATATTACCAAATGTTTTGTTGATTTTTTTTTTGCCTTTATTATTTGTAAATTGCCTATATCACAATAAATTGTTGATTTTCGTTAAAATAAATAGATATTTAGATCAAAATGCCAGATAAAACGGCCGATAAATTAAAATTAGAAAGAATTTTAGGAAAAAGAGAAACTCTTTTTCTAAGAGTTCAACAATGCTATGATAAAGTTCAGGCACTTGAAAATTATCCTAATAATAATTCTAGAATAAAAAGTTTTGAAATTCTTTATCTTAATTTTCCTAAAACTGTAGAAGCCTATAATACCATTATACAGGACATTGTTATATTAAAACAAAAGTTGTTTCCTGACCAACCTGTAGACTATAGTTTACTTGATTCTTTTGAAGAATTATATGGTGTCATTGAATATTATGCTGCTAAGTTATTACCTAAGCCGACAACGGACCATTCACAAACAGTGTCTAATAGTAGTAGTAGTAGTAATATTCAAACCGGTAATAATAATTATCCAAAAATTCACATGCCTAAAATAGAATTAGTCAAGTTTGATGGGGAGGATATTGCATTGTGGCCAGTTTTCCATGAAAACTTTAAGCATTTAGTTCATTCCAAAACTGAATTTAGTAGAGCCGAAAAACTTAATTATTTGCTGGGTAGCCTCTCAGGTAAAGCTTTAAAAACTTGTAATAATTTTGAAGCCATTCCTTCCAATTATGATTTAATTTGGCATTTGTTAGAAGAAACCTATAATGATAAAAAATATTTAGCCAATTTATATTTAGATCGTTTATGGAATTTTAAAGGTCTGTCTGTTAGTATCCCTTTTAGTTTACAAACCTTCTTGGAAAAATTTGATACTAATATAACTGCTAAAAAGCGATTAAATTTGAATGATTTACTTTACAGAATTATATTTTATATTATATTGCCATCTCCAAATTACCACAAGAAACTATCAACTCATTTGAACTAATTAGACACAATGATGATGTACCCAAATATGATGAATTAATAAAATTTATTCGTCACCAAAGTCGTATAGTTGTTAAACCTGAGAAAACTAGAAATTCTCATTTACCTCCACATTCTTCCAAAGCCAACGAATATTCGAGACATTCTAAAACCTTTTTAACTTATAATACCAGGCCTAAGTTTAGTTGCCTTATTTGCCCTCGAGAACAGCATTACCTAAAGGACTGTAATGTATTTAAAAGTTGGCCATTTGATAAAAAATTTAAATTGGTAAATGACAAAAATCTATTTATTAACTGTTTTTCAAATAATCATAAAGTCGGTATATGTCCTTCGAAATTTAGATGTTCACGATGTCATATGAAGCATCATACACTGCTTCATAAAGTTAATGAATCCTCCATCGGTAATTGCGCTGATGAAGTTATACCACCACACGCTAATACAAGTAAATCCTCCCAAAATAACCCACAGCCGGGTTCTCAAAGTTCCCAAATGTATTGTACCCTTTTAAATAAATTCAAAAATAAAAGCCAAATCGTTGAGTACTGTTGTTGTACGAGTGATTGACAAATGGAATAAATTCCAAAATGTTCGTATGCTACTAGATAATGGATCTATGTCTAATCTTTTAACGATGACTTGTTGTCAAAGATTAGGTTTACCATTTTCCAAATTAAATTCAAGTGTTTTTGGTATAGGCGGTAATGCCCAATTTATAAATGGTAAAACAAATATGACTATTTATTCAAGGGTTAACCCAGACATAAAACTTGATTTAGAAATTTTATTAATTGAAAAAGTTACCCCTTCTCTACCAGAGATTGTAGTTGACATTAGTCGTTTAGAGCATCTTAAAAATATAACGCTAGCTGATCCAAATTTTCATTTACCTGGAAATATTGATGGGATAATAGGAGCTACAGTATTTGCAGAAATAATGGGTAATAGTAAAATAAGAGATCCTAAAGATACCCTAACTGCATTTGAAACATCTTTAGGTTATATCGTGACTGGTTCAGCTAGTCCTTTAGCAAATAATTTAATAAATCAAAATTATGGAGTGTTCTTAACTGTAGGATCTAACTTAGATAATCTTGTTGAAAATTTGTGGAAATTGGAAGATTTTTCTGAGCCAGCCAAGGATAATGATGATCAAGTTTGTGAACAAATATTTATAGAAACTACGAAACGTGATCATACAGGTAGATACAGTGTTGCCTTACCTTTTAAGGCAAACCCCATTCATTTAGGAAAATCGTTCTCATTAGCTAATAAACGTTTATTAACCTTAGAAAGAAAATTAGAAAAATTTCCCGACCTTAGACACACGTATTGTTCTAACTTTAAGGATTATATTGATCAAGGACACATGTCCCTTGTATCGCCTGCTTCTATTAACGTCCCTGCCTATTATATTCCGCATCACTGCGTATTTAAATTAGATAGTATATCCACGCCTTGTAGAATCGTCTTTGATGCTAGTATGAAAACTAATAAATACAAATCGTTAAATGATATTCTTTATACGGGTCCTAAATTGCAAATCAACCCAGTGACAATTCTGCTAAATTTTCGTTTATTCCCAGTAGCCGTCACCTCAACATAGGCAATACCAAAGAGTTTTGTGGAGATTTGATCCACAACAACCGCTCTCCATTCATCAGCTAAATTGTGTTACATTTGGAGTTAAATCGTCTCCCTTTCTAAGTCTTCGAACAGTTAAAAAACTCATCGAAGATGAGTCACATAACTTTCCTGATGCCACTGTTCCATTACAACGAGATATGTACATGGATGATTTTCTGAGTAGTTTTTCGAATGTAGATGCAGCTGTTAGGACTTGTAATGAAATAATTTCTTTATTTAACTCCGGCGGATTCCAAATAGTTAAATGGATGTCAAATTCCTCGAAATTTTTATCAAGTATCCCAGATAATTTAAAATTAGAAGAACCAAAAAAGTTTGGGGATAGAACCCTGAAAATTCTAGGATTACAGTGGAACCCCACTGTTAATACATTTATATTTAAAATATCAATTTCAAATTGCCTTTGCACTAAAAGAAATATGTTATCACTAGTAGCTCGTACCTTCGATCCATTAGGATTTCTATCACCTTTTTTATTGTTAATAAAATTAATGATAAAAACTTTGTGGGAGTTAGGATTTGATTGGGACCAACCAGCTCCAACCGATCTTGAACAAAAATGGATTAAGCTCCAGAATGAGTTGTCAGATTTAAGTAAATTCGAAATTCCGCGACATATCAAAATTCTGTTGTTTCCTTGATAGGATTTGCCGATGCCAGTAAAGTCGGATATGCTGCTGTCATATATGTTCGTTCCGTTAATCCTGTAGGACAGATTAATATATCCTTTCTTCATTCTCAAGCTAGAGTTGCTCCTATGTCAGCAGTTACCCTTCCTCGTTTAGAATTATGTGCTGCAGTTCTTCTATCGAAACTCCTAGCACATGCTAGAGACACATTCTCTAGTCGTATAACCATAGATAATATTTTTGCCTTATCTGACTCAATGATAACTCTTCATTGGATTCAATTTAATCCTAAGAAGTGGAAAACTTTTATTTTCAATCGTGTCACTAAAATTCATAATAAATTAGATCCCGCTCATTGGTATTTTGTTTCAGGTTTCGAAAATGCTGTAGATTGTGCTAGTCAAGGTTTGAATCCTATTGCCCTTGTTAAAGTTGCCTATAGAAGAAGATTTTGAGGTTATTAATTCCGAAACCATGATTTGTTTGGTTTCTAAACCTTCTACCTCTCCCTTGTACACTCTGATCGAACATTTTTCTTCGTGGTCAACGTTGTTGAATTCTACTATATATGTCTTGAAATTTGTCAAGATTTTGCCAAGACAGTCTCTAATTAGTAATTTTCAGTTAAAAATAGCCGAAAATTTCTTAATTCAAACAATTCAAAAACATTACTTTTTTGAAGAGTATAATAGAATCCTAAGTGGAAAACCCTTAAAGACCCATCTTCGGCGTCTCAACCCAGTTGCTTTAACCCCCGCACATTTTTTGTATGGAGCCCCCTTAAATTCATTTCCTTCTGAAAATGTACCAGAAAATATACATCCTGTCAATCGTTATAAACTTTCGGATACTTTAGTAAATCATTTTTGGAAAAGATGGCAAAATGAGTATCTCTCTACCCTACAAATTCGTCAAAAATGGAATACCCCATCTAATACAATTAAAGAAAATATGATTGTTATTATTTTACAAAATAATTTGCCTCCATTATTGATAAGGTACACCCTGGTAAAGATGGAGTCATTTGTGTAGCTACTGTGAGAACTCAGAACGGGACCTACACTCGTCCAGTTGTCAAACTTTGTCCACTTCCGAATCAATAAGAGCAATAGTGTTTAATTTTGTTTTGTCCCGTCCATTGTTGAAATTATTTTTTTTTTATTAACAAACCAATTTCCTTTATTTTTTGTTTAATGGGTACCTCTTTCATTCCGAAAGTATAATGAATTAAGTGATTCGTAGAATTTAATATATTTAATTTTGTTTTAATTGTTAAGTTTGGTAATATACAATGTGATTGCTAGAATATAAATTCAACTTCGCCCGGGCAGGATTTTACGGCCATTTGTATTTTTATTAAACTCTTCAAGTAAAATTGGTTGCCTACAGTCCACGTTCATAAATCAATTTAATTTTAATTCTTTTTATTAAAAGATATTTTTAAGCTCATGTCGAAAAAGAGACCAGTCCGTTTTGAACCTTCGTATTAAAAACCACGGTTTTTTTGTGTATAAAAATTAGTACCGGCTTAATAAACAATTCCACCGTAAATAATTAAAAATTAGTGATTTACTACTTAGAGTAAATTAAAGGATAATTGGTAAGCCATAAATTCCAATTTTTTCCCTTTTTACCCAAATATTCCTGTTCCTTATTTTTTTGGCAAGTCAGATTCCAGATATAGTCGCAGTTCTTGGAAATTAATAAAGGTAAATTTAATTTAATTTTCATTTATATATTTTTAAAATTTCGCAAACCATTTTTGGTCATTTCAGAAAAACTAGATATTTTGGTAACTTTACATTGAAGTTTCAAGAAAATCGGTCGTTACGAAGACTTTTTTGTTGCCAACAGTACTGCTTCAAACTTAAGAAACAGAAATAAAACATTACAGACACAATCATTAGTTTTTGGACGCATACTGTATATATTTGTGCATGGTCTAAAATATAAACTATCATCAGTAATATAAGAATATTTAGTTACCTAATTTAAATAAATTAACTAGATAATTTATATTTTAAACGAAGTAATTAGAAAAGTAAATTAAATTCCTATATATTTTTTTAATATCCTGAATTACTTCTACTTATGCAAAATAGGTAAATATATATTGGTTTGTTTTATTCTTGTTAGGAATATTTTGTCATGTTTAAATTAAATGCTTTATATATTTCTTCAATTCTACCATTGTATAGCTTTTCAAGAGGGATAGATATTTTATAGAATTCCAAATCCTTGCTGTAATTCTAAATGTTTTAGAAGCAATTAGATATTTATTATATTTTTTGACATGAAAATAATTTCATATTTTGTTTTCAGTTCAATAAAAACGTACCTATTCTTTAAAACATTATTTTGTACTTTTTTAATTTATTTGCAGTCACTACTTTCACAATTAAAATAACCCAATGCAATCCGTTTACGTACGCTACTGCTGAAGATTCTAATATGAGCGAGAAAGCCTGCATGATTTTATTAGAGCGACATCAACATTGTATAGATTTATACAGGGGTAGCCTATCTGTACATATATTATATAAGACGACACCAAGTAAAATATTTTCTGTCAACTCACTTTCTCATTCCGTGACGTCACTGCGTCCTTAGCAACCGTGATGAAACCACCGTGGTGTCCACGAACCGTGGATATGAGTGGTAAGTTTGGATGCCAATGATGTAGTGAATATAGATTGTTTTCTTTATTTTCTTAAAAATTGAATTTGTATAATATTGTAATGTATTTTAAAAAACAATTAAATTTAAAAGAATACTAAAATTAAAATTTGAAATATAATAAAGAAATATGATTTTGTAGAAATATTTTGATAGACCCTGTAACGTGAAATAGTTTGACACTTTGACAATATACATTTTGGTAACAGGGCTACCAACCGGAATTTCAAATGACATATATCTAAATTTAAAACACAGTTTAAAATAAAACTATTTTAAAAATAATGGATTACGATTTTCAATAAACTCTAGTATAAGTATAAATAGTCAAAATAAACTGACTTGTATAAAAGAGAATATTCAAAATTTCAAATATCTCCAAACAGCATAAACTTGATTGGCCATGTTATTTTTTTAGATAACTAAATTAGATTCTTGGTAAAAAGGAAGCTTGCGATAGAAATTTTAAGACGGAAAGACGTAATTTCCTCGGTTATAAAAAAAATTATAAAATTTTTACATAAAAACAGAGAACAAAAATAAACTAAATAACAAATATATGTCCCTGTAAATATAGAAAGTATTTTAAACAAGTTACACATAATATTAAAAGTGAAAAGTTAATATAAAAGTGATGTTAAAGAACATACCTACGAGGTAAGAGCAGTCCAGGTTTTTTTGAAACTTTTAGACATGTATTCATGCTGCAGGCGGAAACTATCTCCAGTCAGACGTCGAACATTTCTTAGTGACACCGAACTAGAAAAAAAAACTCAATGCTAATTACTTCATAAGGACAAGGATAACATCAGAGGTACTCATTATAAAATACTAGTGAAATAATTCAACTTACCAGAACATATTTAACATAATAGGAAACAGAAATAAAAAGCAGATCATCTCAAATCTAAAAACTAAACATAAACACTTTGATCAATCGTTAGTTTTCAATATGTCGAAATTCACTTACATTGAAATTAACTCCATCTACTAGCAAGTAGTGAGAGGAGAAGATATTAGAAGTTGTTAGTTATCTATCCGTTTGG